GGCTTTTTCTGGATATGAAGATACACAACAGTAAGAGGGACAGAATAAAACTAAAACAGAGGGTCTAGTGTTTTTCTGTGTCCACTGTATTCTCTTTCATTTAGCAATGATCACATCATTGGCATCTCTGAAAAATACATACATCTTCTTCTTCCATTAGACTTCTGGGGTACTTTGGGTACTTAACCTTCTCCACAGCACCTACAATAGCATCTCATCAGGCACCCATCTCATCAGGCACCCAGTATGTTGTGTACTTTGAAGGAATTTATAATTTTTAGTTACCTGCACATGGTGGTGTAATGGTTAACACATTCGGCTGCTAGCCAGAAGGTCCGCAGTTCAAACCCATCAGCTACTCCATGGGAGAAAGATGAGGCAGTCTGCTTCCATCAAGCCTGCCTACGTGGCAGGCTTTGGAAACCCTACTTGGCAGTTCTACTCTGTCCTATAAGATTGCTATGAGTCGGAATTGACTCGATGGCAGTGGGATTGGTTTTGGGTTTCTTAGACATATGGAAGTAAGATAGAGGGTAAGAGAGCTTCTTATTTCCTGCACTAAAACATTGACCAAGCTCCTATGAAGTGTAAGAAATTATGAGAAATGTGTCTTATTGTTTGGGCTTGCTACCTTCCTTTAGTGGCATATAGTCAGAAAAACGAATGAACTTCACATAAGTCAAGGAAGTCAATCTGCTAATTAGGAAGCACTGGGATGCAGCCTGAGTCAAAGAAATATGCAGTGTCCAGAATATATGCTGTTGTGGGTTAAGTATGCCATTGCTTCTGGGGTCAGAGGATGACTCAAATTACAAATGTCAAAGACTTGTAACTATTACTAACTCGTTCATTTCTGTGACATGGAAGAGGAGTTATTTTTAGAAACTGACAAGTACCTCCCTTCTGCCCTACTAACCTGCATGACATTGCCTACAATGACACTGTTAACAGTTTCAGGCAAGACATTGCCAGCAGACAGTGCAGCCTTCGCAGCAAATTCAGTCAAGTCCGTAGCTGTGAAGTCTTTCAGAAGACCTCCGTAAGCTCCAAAAGGTGTTCGCTTGGCAGCAACTATGAAGACACCTATTGCAAAGAGGATAGAATGGTAGGCAATCACAGTTAGGCAGCGTCCCAAACATGCTTAAAATAAGTAGGATTTTCAACTGATAACTGAAAATCTTTAGTCACACAATAACACATAGAGCAAGTCACACCCGTAGCAGCAGCATCTTCAGATTTAAGACATTGCTCAGCATCTCTATAGAGGTCCTAAGAACAGTTACTTTCTGTAAGGATGCAAATCCATTCTGGTTAGACAACATTCTTATCCTCGGCTGATCAGCAATGCTAGAAACACTGGTTTAAAACTCAAGTGTGTCCAAAAACAAACTCCAGATGGATCAAAGACTTAAATGTGAAACCTAGAACTATACAGTTTCTCAAGGAAAATTTAGGCTCAAACTTAAGGGCCCTAATATT